CGATGGTTTTTGCTATTCACTCCCCTGGTAGGGGCTCCAGCTTCCGCTGGCGTTGTCGGTGAAGAGGTGGCGTTGACGGTTCTTGACGGTGATAGAGCGGCCCTCACTGAGGACGAAAGGAAGGTAGGAGTCCCAGAGAAGTCGTCAATGACCCCCTCATGGTAGTCCTAGAGAGGTCGTCAATGACCTCCGCATGGTCATCAACAGAGACCCAGAGGTTCTTCTGTCCTTGCCAAGCTCGGCCTTGAGCCTGTGTGCGGCGCGGGCGCAGGCATCGCTGAGGTAGGCTTCGACGGTGGGGAAGAAGTCGCTGCGCTGGAAGCGCTTAGCGCCTTACTCGGAGATGGTGATCTGGAGGTAGGGGTTGAAGCAGGCGCGAGCTTGGCGGCCCAGCTAGTGAGGTAGATGCTGAAGATCGGGGGGCACGTAGTTCTGCACAACAGACCAGAGGAAGATGGCGATCGCCACCGCTGATCCGAGCCCCGCCCACCTCTCCACCACCGCCACCGCCATGCACGGCCGTTCCTGGAGCTCCTCTTGATAGCGTGTGTTGATGGAAGGCCGTAATGACCTGGACTGGATTGGACATGCGTGTACATGTTGACTGTCATCCGTGTGGTGATTTGCTTCGGTTGAAGCTTAGCTAAGCACGTGTACTCGTCGTCGTTGGCGCCGGAGCAAGTGAGGAGGAGCTGTCGGAGGTGAGGAGAACCGGCGAGCAGTGATCCAACAGTCCATGGAAATGAGATTACTTAATGGATGCAATGGCAAATGCAGAGTTGGCTTAGCTAGCTCAGTTTGTAGGTAACCAGATGGGTCAGGATTCCGATGGTCAATTGCATCTTGTCAAGACAGGTAGTATTAATACTACAATAGTAGCTTTAAAAGTGATCAGGGATCGATGCATGTTGGTCGGCAGGTGGCATGCATGGTGCTCAGTCGTCGGCGAGACGAAGCATGCAATACTTTTGTTTTGAAGAACTACAAGCATGCAAGCAATACTTTTCTTGGCGTAGCTGTTGCTGGGCCTGGAACGAGCACACCGCTCCGTTCGCCGTATGCTTTTTAGTACCACACCGCTCGCTTTGGAGTGTACTTCGCGGTCTAAATAGTCTGTTAGTGATCCACTTAGCGCCGAGGACGCAAAGCATATACACCAGCTTGCTGGTCCAGGGTCTGTCGAGGCAAAAAGCAGTCATCACATACTTCTGGCCGGGTCAGGCCGTGGGCCTGTCACCTTAAGTTGCTGTTAAGTCGTGCATGAGGGGGGCCAGAAGTATGGATTGGCGTCAGTCTTTTTTTTATAATAAGCCTTTAATTTTCTTTTTTCAGAAAACCAAGATCTATTATAAAAATGCCGATGCTAGGCACCCGCCTAAATTTCGGCCGGTCGCGCCCTAGCCATCAAATGCCACTCGCGTGGGCCGTCCGATATGCTGAAACGATTTTTGCTCAGCTCCTTCACCCTCCCACCTCTCGTGCAGCTCTTCCCCAGCATCCCTTCCCCATCCCACATCTCGGCTAGTACTGTGGCTCCCGTCGCCCTCGGCTGCTGAACCTCGCCATACCGGTCCAAAGCACCGCACCTCGCCGTCACCACCACCCTTGGTTGCACCATCCATGGATCCCGACGCACTGACCCTCGCATGCTACACTTGCACTGGTTCCAACAATGACGTGCATGCTTGCAACATCTCACCGCAAGCATAAAAGCTCGTTGGTTCTCCGTGGTGACATTGCAGCTCATCACGGCAACGGTTCCAACAAAGCCGATTCACGGTTACAGTACCTCGCTGCCACGATTCTAGCTCGCCGTGGTGACCTGACGCAGCTCGCCATGGTCACTGGTTCCCCTACGTCGCTCCTGCCGGTCGAGATAGTAACAAAACTAATAGCCGGTTGTAGCAAAAAAAAAAGGCAATTCCAGTAAAAAATTGTCTCGGCGTCGCTGGGTTGAAGCAAAAAGTTCCACCGGCGTTGCCGGGTTGACGCAAAAAAAGTCGGCGGTTCCAGGAAAAAAGAGCCAATTCCAATAAAATTGACTCGCCGTCGCTGGCCACAACAAAAAAACTCGTCGGTTCCAGCAAAACGAAAAGCCTATTGTAGCTCAAAATCGTGCCGGTTGTAGCAAGTCGACTCACGCCACCAGAAATGCACCTCGCTCCAGCGCAGACGGTTGTCGTTTGCATCTCCTGTGACCGCCATGTCCAGCAATGATGGTTGTCGGGGTTGCAGCACGCAGCACCACGTCAGAGGCGTAGCTCGTAAATTGTGGTGTCGAGCTCGTCGGTGTTTGTTGTGCTCGCGACGAGGCCGGTGGAGCATGCGGCGAGCACGGTGCCGGTCGCAGCAAATCTAGCGCGTGGTGGCGGCTCCGTGGGTGCGACGCGGGTCAGCAGGAGGTGGGCGGTTTTCGATGCAGCGGAGAAGGAGGTGGGCGGTCGTCGACGCAGGGAAGATAGAGATGCGGGTGGGAGAGATAACATGGATCGGCTAAGGATATAAGGTAGTAGATGTGAGATGCACGACTAGTTCGGAACGAGCGACGCGCGAGCGGCCGACACAAAGTTGGGTTGGTCGGTTGTATACAAATATTTCCCGAGAAAAATTCGCCGGAAGTAGAAAGTATCTCAAACATAATAAATATTACATCAAGGGCTTTGGACCACCGAATAACCAACCGTTGCCAGAACGACCCACTGAAACGCCAATTTACCATCTCTTATGTAAGCCTTTCTTTCTCTTTCAAATGGTTAAAATTCAGGTTCCAAAGCACATTAGCGTGTGCACACTGATGGTGCTTCCATATGTCAGCCTTTTCTCGCTGCTTGGTGTCTCCTCTTTCTCTGCCAGCTCTCCCTTCAAGTTACCGCCTGAATTGTCCAGTTAGCCATCTTCTCCTATTCATTGGGCGTCTTAAACTGCTGATAGTTGAACTCCATGGCCATCTGCTCCTGGGCATCCAAGAGGCAGTTAACATCAACAACTGACTTCTCCTCTAGTTTGTTTTTCTCTCGATTTTGATTGTGAACTTGAAATGAACTCCCTGGATTGTCCCTCGTCCTATCTGTCTTGCTCTCGTAAAGGAGCCAGTGCCTTCTCCATTGAGTCTGGCCATTCTAAAACAATCCACTAAATTACTCCACAATTATTCCTTCCTACAAAATTATGAAAAAAACATGGCAATGAGCTAAATGACTTAGATATGTTATAGTAAACTAGAGAGAACAGATAAGTTATAAGAAATGACAATGGCAGTTGTTTTGGAACTTGGTATAAAAATATGACTACTTAAGCACCATATGACAATTTTCCGTATTCACTGGCAAACTGAATGATAACTATTGACCAAGGGCAATTATTTGAAACATTGTTAATTAAGCACTGCCAGCTTATTATAATAGTATTAACTAAACAATGAGTATTGAAATTCAGTAAGAAACAAAGATCAATGTACAATCAGCACTAAAGAATTAACGCAATACAATCTCAGTGAGCAACTAACAATTAACAATGAACACTTCACAGTCAGCCACCTTATTAAACTAATGAACTATCTAAACAACAAGACACTAATAGTCAAACACTAATCATGTAAACAATTAGCAAAGTATAAATCTCAATTCATTAATAACCACAAGATTGCAAACATGCAACACATGAACAGTTATATACCACAGCCAATTATTCTCATGCACACTAAGTTTTATGTGATTAAATTTTTCATTGTCCTAGTTATATATCATCAAAAATAAAATAACTAAATATAGCTGACATACCTGGTGGCGAAATTATTGTACTCCGTCTGATCCCAAAAGAAGAAGGCATATAAAGATTGCCTATAGTCAAGCGGTGTAAAGTGGACAACCTTTGTAGGAAAAACAACGAATAACTACAACACTATGTATTTAGTGATACTAATTTGGCGTTCAAATTCTGGATATTTTTTCTAGGAATTCGGTCAAAATTTGCACCGTTTGACTTGTTTGTGAGCTTGCCTACGCTGGTAAGCAATGCTTCGAATTCTCCTTCCTGATCATTGGCATGTGTCTTCGGGTCTGCTGTAGCATTTGTATACTTCATCAGAACAAGGAAGTTCTATAGGCAAGTTATATATGCCAGACTGCTGTCTTTTGTAAACGACGCTCTGTTTTTGTTCTGTTCTTGTAACAATATCATGTTAGCATTTGCTCAGAGCTGAAAGAATGCAGAATTGGATTGCTTAATTAGTTAAATTAATTATTGAAAGGGCCAATTCAGATTTGGGCTGCTTAATTAACTCCAGAAGCAGGAGAATTTCGGATTGCTAATTGCGTATTGTCACTGTCATGCGTAGTAGCGACATTGGGTTGGGGACATGGTAAGGAAGCCTGCATGATACCATGTTTATTTTTAATTCCCAGTAAAAAACAAGTTAGCCTTTTGGTGTTGGTAAAGCGTATGGTTCATATGACAGTAGCATTTTGTATTGTTGCACGCCTTATAGCAGCAGCACCAGCATTACAAGTGAAAGAAGAAAGAAATATCGTTTCAGTTGGGAGGTGCATTATTTTGCTTTGAACAAACACTGCATTTTTGTTTTGTAAGGGAGCACTAGTGAACAAGTTCACTCCTTTTCCTTGGCTTCCTGCCGTTACGTCACCTCACCTTGCTTAATACTCCCTTTGTCTCAAAATTCTTGTCTTAAATTTGTCTAAATATGGATATATCAAGTCACGTTTTAGTATTAGATAAATCCATATCTAGACAAATCTAAGACAAGAATTTTTGGACGGAGGGAGTATCTCTGTGGGATTCCTCAGGTGCTTTATTCTTCTCTTTGCCTTTCTCCTTGGCTTTCCTCATCTCTGCCTCCTCTTTCTCCTTGGCTTTCTTCGCTTGACCCTCCTCTGCCTCCTTGGCCTTGGCTGCCACCGCTTCCTCCTTGGCCTGCTTGAGCGCCTCGATGAGGCCTGTTAAGCACATGTCTGGGTCCCTCTTTTTCTTGTTCGACATGGACATCAGGTTCTCTGCAACATCAGCTGGCGACATGTCAGTCTCGTTGAGCAGGCTTTGAATTCCCCAAATAGCTCGTGCCCGATGACATCTAGGTAGTTCTTGGCGAGCACCTTGAAGCCCTCAAAGCGGCAGTAGGACATCTCGATGTGTTTGTCCATCCTGCCCCGCCGGATCAGCGCCGGGTCTAGCTTCTCCTTGTGGTTGGTGGTGAAGATGATAGTCCTTTCACCTCCGCAAGCAGACCACAACCCGTCGATGAAGTTAAGCAGGCCTGAAGGCGTCACCTTGGTGGCATCGTCCTTCTCCGGGTCTATCGGTAGCTTGGGATTGTCATTGTTGTCTGGGTCCTTGTTGCTTGAGGCCTTCTTGTCCGTGCGGTGTTTTCCAGTGAGGTCGATGGAGCAGTCGATGGTAGACTTGCTTGTTGTCTCGACGAAGAGCTTCCGCAACTCGTTGTTGTTCTTGATCGCTGTGACCTCGAGGTCATAGACGTCATAGTTGAGGAAGTTGGCCATGGCGGCGATCATGGTGGACTTGCCGGTGCCGGGCGGTCCGTAAAGGAGGTACCCGTGCTTCCATGCCTTGCCGACCTTGGCATAGTATTCCTTGCTCTCTTGGAACGCCATGAGGTCGTCGATGACAGCTTCCCTCTCATCGGGGTGCATGGCGAGCGTGTCAAAGGTGGCGGGGTGCTCAAGGGGGCATTGCTCCAGACGCTTTTGCCCCGGTAGGGGTTCCAGGTCCCGCTAGCATTGTTGGTGAAGAGGCGGTGTTGGCGGTTCTTTACAGGGAGAGCGCGGCCCTCGCCGAGTACGAAAGGAAGGTAGGAGTCAACGATAAGGTCGCGGTGCCTCCGATGGAAGATGACCCGATAGAAGCGCCTCTCTTCCTGGCCGGGGTATAAATGGCCACCAGCGCCACTGCCATGGTCAGACCGGGAGCACCTCTTGATATTGTATCGATGGAAAGCCGTGGTGACCTGGACTGGACTGGAGATGCGTGTACGTGTTGCGTATATAACGCCAATGGTTCTTGTGGTGATTTTGCCGAGTTTGAAGCTTTGCTAAGCATGTGTTGTCGTGGTGGTTGGGGCCGGAGCAGGTGAGGAGAACCGGCGAGCATTGATCGAACAGTCCATGGAAACGAGAGTACTTAATGAATCCAATGGCAAATGAAGAGTTGGCTAGCTCAGTTTTGTCGAGCCAACCAGATGCGTCAGGATTGCGATTGTTAATTGCATCTCTAAACTTCTTTTAGACGATTGATTGCATCTTGTTACAACAGGCTAGTATAAAAATTTGCATGTGTACAATACTACGTAGCTTTGAAACTAACCAGAGATGCATGAGGTCGGCATGGTGCTTAGTCGTCGGCGAGATGAAGCACGGTGCTGATGACCCCGGAGGACAAGAGGCACAGTTTAGGCTTTTTTTCCCCAGGGAAAGGCACAACTTAGCTGGACGGAAGACGATCGAGGTGGCTCGCTGGGCCGTGAACGAGTACCACACCGTGCCGAAAGAAACAATAGTACCACACAGCTTGCTACGAATCCTACGTCCCGGTCTAAATAGTCTGGTAGTGACTCACGTATTGCCGACGACGCAAGCATATACACCAGCTTGCTGGTCCAAATAGTCTGGTAGTGACTCACGTATTGTCGACGACGCAAGCATATACACCAGCTTGCTGTTCCAGGGTCTGCCGAGGCAAAAAGCAGTCATCACGTACTTCTGGCCGGGCCAAGCCACTGCCTGTCACCTGAAGTTGCTGTTAACTTGGTATGAGGGGGGCTAAAAGTACGGATTGACGCCAGTCTTTTTTTTTTCTCTTTTCTTCTGAGCCTTCATATTTTTTACCAACATCTTATAAAAGTTTGAAGTACACACACACGCACGCACGCACGACGCTTATTTGGGCCAACTCATGGGCCACACCATTGAAATTTCGTTTACATGAAATAACATCACATGCAGTAAACCAAGCCTTAGGGCAACTCCGATGTGGATCACCTATTGGACACCACCATTGTCTAAAAAACTATATTGGACATCATCAAGACCTCTTTTCCCCCTCACGCTAGGGTTAGCTTTTCCTCTCAGTGACGGTGATGCCATCGTTGAGATTTTGCCTCCCTTGCCTCTAAATCTCCCATAAGGACAGACTCAGACTGATCATGAGTCGATCCTATAGATCACTGTCCGGCCATGGCCGGACCTGCAGTAGATTCAGAGGACCTAGGGTTCGACGCCCGACGATTTCTTCTCATCGGGCTAGGTTTCCTCCATCGACAACGGAGCTCCAGACTCGGGTACTAACATGAGCGAGGTGGAGGCTTTGATGAAGTAACTTGGGCTTAGAGAGGACGACCTCCATGATGTTTTTGTGGAACAGGATGAAGCACTGTCGGCTAATTTGACATGATGGATAGCCATTGCCCGAGTCCATATGGACAAGCCCAACAACCAATACAGTTTTTAGAAGAACATGAGAGTGGCGTGGAATTTTGCCAAGGAGGTGACATTTCGTCCACTGAATGACAACCTTTACACCTTGGAGTCCTATTGCCTTGACGATTCAAAATGGGTTATGGAAGAAGGGCCTTGGAATTTTCGTGGTGTTTGCGCCATACGAAGGGTTTACATAACCCTTGCCGATCAAGCTCGATTCTCTAAAGATATGGACCTAAATCCATGACCTACCAGATGAGTATGTGTTGTTACTGAAATCACTAGCAGGGAAGGTTAGCGAATTTATCTATGCTGAGTCAAAGTCACAGGATTTTGACGGATTTTTTCCAGAGCTGAAGTTAAGATCAATGTTAATAAACATACGAAGAACGTTGTTTCACTTATCCCGGATAATAAGCGCTAGATCTTTTGCATGAAATATGAACGACTCCCAAACTAGTGCTCGATGTGTAGAAACCTTGGTCACATGTACAAAGAGTACGACGATGGGATTCACCCCTTCCCCCGCCCCCCTTTGTCTTTAAGGATATGTGAGCAACCTGGTTAAGTTGAGTTAGACATGGCCCTGGACGTGGTAAGGGTCGTGGTCAAATTAGATGGTTCTTTTAGTTCGAGTGAAGTACATTGTAGGTCCCTGAATTTCATGGGTGTCATGTAAGTCCTCAAACATGAAAATCGTCATCCAAATCCTCGAAGTGCGGTACATGTGTCATTAAAGTCTAAAAATTGTCCGACCCTGCCTAACCGGCCAGCTGGCATCATTGACCCGTGACACGTCCGACGGGGGCCCCTCAAGGTAACGGCCGATGACGGAAATACGCAAATAAACTAAAATCATTATTTCAAAAATGTTCATGAATATGGAAAAAATGTTCATTAAATAATAAAATTGTTCGCCGGTATTGAAAAAGTTCGCGACTTTAGAAAAATGTTCGCGAATGATGAATTTGAATAAAAAATCACGAACGCTGAATCTGAAAAAATGATCGCGACGTTAAAAAAATGATTGTGAGTGATAAATTTTAAAATAAAAGAAGATATCTTCACGAACGTTAAATTTGGAAATATGTTCGGGAACCACAGAAAATGTTCGGGAATATGGAATAAATGTTCGCAACTTTAAAATAGTATTCACGAGAGATAAATTTTAAAATATGTTCACGGACCATGAATATTGTTAGCGAATATGGAAAAAATGTTCGTGACTAAAAAAATGTTTACTAGTGATGAATTTGAAAAAAGTTCGCATCCGGTGAATATGGAAAAAATATTCGCGACTTGAGAAAAATAGCTGTGAACATAAAATTTCAAAGAAAAGAAAATATGTTCACAAACCACCAATACTGTTTGTGAACGATAAATTTGAAAATATGTTTGTGAACCCCCAAAATTGTTCGCGAATATGGAAAAAATCACGAACGACGTATTTGAATTTGTGTTTGCAGAAATTTCATAAATGATCATTTTTTCAAACATTAGCAATTTTTAGAAAGTTGTGAATTTAAAAAATATTCACGATTTAAAAAAACATTTATGGTTAAGAAAATATTTATGAACTCTAAAATATGTTTATGAATTTACAAAAAAATCATTAATATAAATGTTCATGGTTTAAAAAATGTTCACAACTTCAAAGTTATGTTAATGAACAACAAATATTTGTGGTTCGTGAACACATTTTCAAATTTATCATTCGCGAACATTTCTTAAAGTTGTGAACATTTTTTTCATATTCGCGAACACTTTTTGAAACCATGAATTTGAATCTATCTGGAGGGAAGTGCATTTATCATTCCCTGAAGTTTATTTGATTTTTTTTTGCATATTTTCATCACTGGCCGTTACCTTGCAGGGCCCCATGTTCGACATGTCATGGGTCAACTGCGCCAGCTGGCCGGTCAGGTGTGGTCGGACAGATTTTGATTCTGCATGACACTTACTGCACTTCGAGAACCTGATTGCCAATTTTCATAGTTTGAGAATCTACATGATACCATTAAAATAGTTTAGGGACCTACAATGCACTTCATTCTTTTAGTTCCCATGGCATATATATGAAATTTCAATTCGATATCTATGTTGTTATTTTATTTAGAAAGGATGGTCATTTTCTTTGCGTGCGTAAGACGGGCCTCTTTTTTTTGCCCTCTTTAAATTGCCATCTGATGAAAAAAGGAGAGACTAGAGTGCACCAAGTCTCTAGGGAGCTGCAGTGTTTCCAATGACAATGTGTTCGCTGTCTTTCATCTTAGAGCGAATGAGTTTTAAAAAGATCTGATGTGGCTCCGATCCCGCGACAAGATTTGTGCACACCAATCTGACGGGAGAGAGTGCGTTCGCCGGGGCTGGCCTGCTGGCGAACGGTCGCCAGTTACATTTCTGGGTTTTTTTTCTGTTGGTGGAGACACTCCTCCAAGTGCTACCGCGTCCGTGTTCTCCTCAGATTCCTTTCCGTTTTTTAGGGCCAGTTTTTCCTAGCTTCTAGTAAAAGCTTATTTTCAAAATAAGCCAAAGTGCAAAAGAACTCGTTTTGCGAAAGTCAACTCAACTTTTTTTTTTGAGGGAAGGCCATCATGGCTAGCTTTATTGGCTTAAAAAAGAATTACATCATCCACAAGGTTTGAGACCAGACAGCCCGGGGGCTCGTCCGTCCAAATGCTAGAGAATTTATTACAATAACTATGTTTAGCTAGCACATGCGCTGCTTTATTTGCATTACGAGGACAATGCTTAAATTTGACCTTCCCAATCAAAGTCGAAACATCGACGCACTCTGCGAAGATAGCAGCAGCTTCGTCCCACCATCTTTCTCGGCCAACACAGGAGTCAATCACTGTTAATGAATCGGATTCCGCCTCTACTCACGGGAAACCTAAAGAGTTTGCAAACTTCAGGCCAGCCCGCATTACCAGCGCTTCCGTCGTGACCACGCTTGATGCCACGGGGATATAGATACATTGAGGTGCAAGAAACGATCCAGTCACATCTCTGATAACCGCAGCCGTTGCTCCCACTCCTTCTTCGACATAAAACGCTGCATAAACATTTAGTTTGACAAATCTAGGCTCCGGCTTCTCCCATCTATCTTGCACTGAATCAGTTTTCTTCGCATTTTCCTGGTCGAAATTATTAGAAATAGCAAGGACTGAAATAGGCCATTTGAATGGTGATGGAGGAGTACCATTATGAGTGTACTG